AAAGAGTGAACTTTCTCACTAATTAAAGCAAAGCTCTTTCCTGCGCAGAACCACATAAATAGTCTTGGTCAAAAGCTGGAATTCCCACTGGGAGTGATGTTGTGCCAGGATCCTAAAAGTTTTAGGGATACAGTAGGAGAAGAGGCTGCAAGTTTAGATTCCCATGCTCAGATTTTTTTAATGAAGTTTTAATTTAAAAAGAAAAAACGGGTTTCAGGAAATAGTAGTCTTTAGACACTCAGCTATGTGGACTGCTTTAAGATAGGAGTTTCCTCAGTTAAATACTGTCAAAGATAAATATGGGTAAGAAAGATTTTTTTTTTCTTTTTTTTAACATTAGTTCACATTCTTCCTTCATTTTGGGAAATGGAGAGTTCTGTGTCATGAGCTCTGCAGGATTCCACTCCTGTAGTTCTTTTAAGTGAATGTGCAGATTTTTATATTAGATAGTGTTTTCAGTCACTCCTTTTTATCAAGGAAGAAGATGAGAGAAGGGTAGAACAATGAAAGCTTTTGACTCTTTTCAAACACTACTTCAAACTTACACTGATTAATGAAGATATTTTAGAAAAAAATGAGTTAAGGTCTTTTTGAGGACTGATATTAAATGTTTTTGATTGACAGGTTGTTCATGGAAATCCTGAAGTATTGTACAGACTGTGATGAAATTCAGTTTAAGGAGGATGGATCATGGGCTCCTATGAGATCAAAGAAGGAGGTGCAGGAAGTAACTGCATCTTACAACGGAGTTGATGGTAAGTTGTGTTTTGGGATGTATGGACTGAATGTCATACTGGTGAAATGTTAAGTATTGGTGTTCCTTTCACTTCTCAAGATGCACATTTTTGCATGTATGTTTGGAGCTTTTAATGATCATTTGTGAGGAAGATTACTTCAGTAATACCTGTTTGGGGCTGATGGTACTTTTATTATCAACATTATGTAATTTTGTTGTCTTTTGTTAAAGTTATAAGCTTTATTTATGAAGGCATATAATAAGCTGTGAAGTTATGATGATTGTAGTGTTGTAAGCTACAGCTTATAATGTTGACTTACTTTGTATAGGATGCATAAGCTCTTCCTTGGAACATCAGGTGTCTTCTCACCAACAGTCAAATAAAAATAAGAAAGTAGAAGTGATTGATTTAACCATTGATAGTTCATCAGATGAAGAGGAGGAAGAACCATCTGCAAAGAGAAGCTGTCCTTCCATATCTCCAGCATCACCGTTAAATAATAAGGGGTGAGAATAAAATATGCAGGCCAATGCAGAGAGAATATACTCACAATGGAGAGTAGTAACAAATTTCAAAAGACATTGTATTTGGAAAGTTCTGTATTTAGATTATATCCTGATTTAGTAGCTTGTAGCAAATGGATTTGGTCTCAGGTCACAAGGCCTCAAAAGACTGGAATAATAACTTTGCGTTAAGTGTGTAACACGATACAGGTTGTTTTAATTGTATTTATACTCGTATTTGTGAAAATGAGTATAAAATGGTACAAAAGGTTGTGGCTTAGAAGAATGTTTTTTGCAGATTTGGAATTGTTTTTCTTCCATAGGGAAATAAGAAAGCAGCAACATACGGAGAGAGCGAGCAGTGAGAAACATGGGTGTGGTATGGGAGTGTGTGGGTTTTGCCAGTGATTACTACCAGTAGCCTTATAATAAAGAATGCCAGAATAACCTGATTACACCTAAGTAGCCAAGCTGCTAATAGCACCCTGTTTACATAAACATGTAGGGATGAAAACTGAGGCTAAACCGAAGGGATCCTATTGTTGAACTGATTACTACACCAGTAATGTAAATGACTCAGTGATCACTTAAAACTCTTCAAAACCTTTTTGGCTGTCTTCCATTGCTAATTACCTTGCAGAGCATATCTGTTGTGCTGTTAGGCAGATTTGTACCTTTTTTGGGGGTTCAGTACACCTTTAGGATATTCTTGTCCTGGCTTAGGAGTATTTGTAACATATTTATAGCAGAGATCCCAATACCATTTATAGTGAGAGTCATCAGCTTCTGCTGTTTGAGACTGAGCTTTCCTTTAATTTTGCTAGACTTTGACTGCTTGGGTCTGAATTATATAATATTATAATAATCAGCTGAATTAACTTTTCTGATAAAATGTCATTGTGAGAAGAAATATTGGGGAACATGTGATGCTCCTTTTTTTTCCCTCCCTCCCCCCACCCCTTTCCAGTCCCTCCAAGACTCATTGAGATGCTGTAGCATCTTGGTGCTTTCTAGTGAAGCTTTGAAGTTTAGTAGGGGAGCTGTTGTTGCACACCTGTCCCAATGTTCATAATGTGTACTGAGAGGCTGACTTTGTGTTAAATTTGAAAATAGGCATACCCTGCATGGGACAGCAGTAAAAATCTTCAAATGCTGTTCTTACAGCTTTAGAGTCAAGACTATATTTTGCTCTTGTAACAAGCCTTTGTTTCTTCCAGCATTTTAAATTTACCACATCAAGCATCTCCTGTGTCAAGAACACCAAGCCTTCCTGCTGTTGACACCAGCTACATCAATACATCACTTATCCAAGACTACAGGCATCCATTCCATATGACACCTATGCCTTATGACTTGCAAGGTGAGAAGTACAGCTCTCCAAGCAATAATAACTATTCTAAAAGGATTTAAAAGGTTATTATCTTAAGGTTTTAAAGGGTTGATGTTTTGCAAATTCCGGTAGTGAAAAGCATCTGAGGTGTCATCAGTATTATGCTGGTTTTATTTCAAAATAAATGGTGGAAAAATAGGGAGGTGCTTTTTTGTTTTGAGAAGCTTATTTTTTTTTCTTTGGCTCTTTACAGGTTTAGATTTCTTCCCTTTCCTGTCAGGAGACAATCAGGTAAGTCAAGGAAAATCAAGTCATTTGGCAGATACTCTTTTCTGAGAAGCACTTGCTGGCATGGATGTATAGGCAAGGAAGGAGCAGATGTATGATGTAGGTGTAAATGCAGGCAGGCTGCAGCTTTATTTTATACACATAGAAACTGTGACCAAACATAAGCATTGTCTAAACACCAGTGTAGGATGAGGCACAACAAAAGACAAACATTTCCATTTCCAAGAGTGGGTGACTGAGCCTAACCATTCTATTGTGGAATGACCCTTGGCCATGGAAGAAGGTCTGCCAGCCACCTCCTTAGTTTTTCAGACCTGAGGTCTGACTTTGGTCATCTGACAGTGCTGGGCCCTGTCACTGGGCCCCTTGGCAGTCCTCTGCACAATTCGGAGAGTCAGGGGCAGCTCTCTGTTTTTTTTTCCTCAGGCAGTATGCCTGTTCATACCATGTTTGCCACCTTTCTGTACGTGCTTACTGAAATGGGCTATATTGGTGCTGGCATCTCCAGTTTTGGCAGCTAAGCAGGTCATTCTCAAAAAGAGTCTGGATTGGCAAGTCTTCCCACTTGATCACTTTTCCTCCTGTGCCTCCTAGAAAAGAGGGCTGGGGTGACTCACTGCCCTTTGTCCCTTCATGTCTGTGCTGCAATCTCAAGCAGGAGAATTGCACTAAATGTAGAGGAATACTTTCATATCATTGTTCAGACCAGAGCCTGCACTGCAGAATTTGGATCCAGAAAAGCTTTCTTGATACTCGGTAAATCACAGATACGAGATTTCTTCTGAAACAAGAAGTGCAGAAGTCTGATGCTACACTGATACGGCATAATTATACCAGCACATAAATGTCGGGGAACAAGCCTGACCAGCCTGCATATAAGTTTCATCGTAGTGGAAAGAAACATTGTGAGCAAAATTACCCTACAGAGAGATTGTATTTAAAATCTGATTTTTGATGGCTGAAGTTCATGCTTTTCAGGGGCTGCCCAGCAGAGAGTATAACTTGGGACAGCCCTAACTGCCATCTGATGGGACTAAGCGTGCTATTTCTAAATGCATTTTTCACAGAAGTATGCTTTTCTCTACTAGCAGTGATTAGCACAGTTTCACCAGCTGCGGTTGGTCTGTGACTTTTGAGCGGAGGAGAGGGATGGCAAAATGTTTCTTTGAATTTTGGGGAATTTTTTCACCAAGGAATTTTTTTGAAGAGATAGAGTGCTGCTGCTTACCATTTCTTACTGTTCTGGGTGTCTTGCGATACTGTTACCTTTCTAGTGTTTCCTCTTACTAATACTAGTATTTCCAATTCCTTTTGGCTTCAGAAATCAGGGGCTGCAGAGGTAAAACTTCACTGCATCGGTCCACTTACCTTACAGAAAGGTTGAGTAGAGGAGCTGGTGTGAAATCCAGAAGCTGTCAGAGCTTTAGCTTACAAATACTTTCTTTTGTGCTGGTCTGAATCAAAACTATAGTGTCTGAAATGTAACTTGAAAATGTTGTTTTTCCCCCCAGCATTACAACACATCCCTTCTTGCTGCTGCAGCTGCGGCAGTTTCCGCATCAGATGATCAAGAACTCTTACACTCTCGTTTTTTCCCATACACTTCATCTCAGATGTTTCTCGATCAGCTAAATGCAGGAGGAAGCAGTTCTCTGCCAGCCACAAATGGTAGCAATAGTGGCAGTAACAGCAGTCTTGTTTCCTCCAACAGCCTGCGAGAGAATCATGGTCATCCAGTTGCAAGTAGGAGCAGCACGGACACGGCGTCTATCTTTGGTATCATACCAGACATTATTTCATTGGACTGATTTTTGGAGTAAATGAACTCATCAGAGGAAATCTTTGTGCTTGGTTTTACGTTATGTTAGAAACATAGACAAGTTTTTTTCCTTTTTTAGGGAAAAAAATTTATGTGTACAGAGAACAAAAGTATATTTTCAGTTTTACTTTTGTATATAAACCTAAGATGGCCTCACTGGTAAAAATAAGAAAAAAAAAAAACACAAAACAAAAAAAAAAATTAACAAAAACAAGGCGCTTCAGTTCATTTTTCTGGATGTTGAAGATTTTACACCTGCACATTTGTCATGTGAGTTACTTTTTTTCCCCATAGTTTGGACACAAACGGCATTATTTCCTTCACAGTAACATAAGCAGGAAAGGAGCTGAACTTTTAAAGTTCAAACTTGTGAGAGGGTTTTTTCTCCTCTTGGAGACATTTACCTTTGGTGGAATCTAATTCCCTCATCCCATATTTAGTGCAGATTTTATTACGCTTAAAGCGGAATACACCCTACCCAAACTGTTCCACAGCATCCCCTCTGTTTGCAGGACTTAGCCTTTCAGGAGTGGGTTTGGTTTTTTGGGATTTGTCATTTCTGGTTCTACGTGACCCTCTATTCAGATGATATTTTTTTTTTAATTGCATGCTTTAATCAAGCATGTTGCAAGCTCATTAGTGCACCAATTATTCTTGATGGCCAGACTCAATAAAATCTCAGGCTGAGGATTTACTTGGCTGTGCTTATGTGGGACAAGATGGCGAATTTTTATGGAATCTAGCCCCAAATAAAAGCATTGACACATTGGACTGTAGGATTTTATTTCGAAGAACTTACTATGAAATCCTTTTAAAATAATGTAAGATCCTAATCAGCAAAATATTAAGCATGTATCAGTTTTAAATTTGTGGAACTGCTTGTGCTTTCGAGGTAGCCATGTGTGTATAAATGGCCTACAGAATTAAGGCCTATCTTACTCTGTCCAGAGAAACCACCTTTTAGCTGCAGTAGATCAAACTTCTGCTTAAAAGTGAACTCGTCAACAAAAGGAAGAAAATACAAATACACTATTGCATGGTTTGAGCAGCTGATAATGGTCTTGGTACACTGTCTTCTGCATTCACATTCATCAAAATTAATATTAAATGTTCAATGTGAGTCTCTTAAACCAAAACCCAACCCCATAAAAAAGCCCCACCCCTGTAGCGCATGTACTCAAGCGTATTGCTACCTATTGAAGTCTCTTAGGGTAGTGGGTTTCAAAATTCAGTTTTCTCTTTTTGGCCTTGTAATTATTTCGATTTCCATGATTTTTCAGTACACTTATGTTGGACTTTGAGCCATACTCCTGGTTTCTTTTCTCTCTCTCTCTCTTTTTTTTTTTTTTGAAGTTGTGCGTGACATAGGAGAATCTTTTTTTAGAACTGGTGGGTCATTTGGGCTGATCCGTTCTTATTAAAGAGTGGAATTTGTAAATAGCCGGAATGCAGTTTTTCATGAGATTCTTTAAAGTAAGAGAAGGGGGAGGAAAGGAGGTGATTCTCTTGTGTCCCAAAGTCCATGTCAGAGAGAGTAAGTATTTCCTCTGATGTGAAAAATATTTTTATAACTGGTAGAAAGTGCAGGTAACAAGTTTATCAGGAAGAGAGAGTGAGGAATACTAAAATTAGCAGATTCTTGTCTGAATTTTTAATGTCCAAAACTGTTGATTGCAGCTAGTTGCTTTGAGCATTGACAAGGGCCACCTTTTGCCTATGAAGTTGTCTCAAAATCTTGCATTGATTAAAAAAGAAAAAAAAAAGGAAAAAAAAAAAAAGGAAAAAATAAAAAAAAATCTTTAATCCAAGTAGCATTAGGTATTGCTGTATGATCAGTCGTATGGTTATTTGAAAGGTTCACATTATGTGGCATCAAAATCGTTTTTAGTGTTTTTACAGCATCCCTCTGCCACTAAATAGTTGACTTGAATTTTGAAAACAAATGTTTGTGTTTATATGTATATGTGTGTGTATATATGTATTTATAGATCTGTGTGTGTGAGTTAAAAGTGAGTTAAATAGTTTTTCCCATGCATGTGTATTTCATACATATCTGGCTGATATATATATTTCACCATACACCAATTTTATAATTTATTAAATGTCAGTTAAAAAATAAATAAAAGGATAGAAAATGGGAAATACTTATTTTTTAAATTCAGTCTGATTTTGAAGTGATTAAACCTACACTAGAAATATATCTCATACATTTTAGTCATGAATACTAACCTGGTAACTTCAGAGCATACGCTTTGCTATAGTACCGTTTGTAAATCTGGCGTATGACTGCCATCAGTGTAACTGGGCGCGAGCGTGTCCCCAGCTTCTGAAACACCCAAGAGAAATTTGGGGGAGCTTGTGGCTGTTTTACCGACGATTGTGGCAACATTTCCATTGACTGTATTGTTAAAGATGACCTGAAGAGCAGCTTATGTCACTTTTGACAATGGTATTAAAATCTTGTTAATTCACATATAAAATTAAATGTGGTGAGTGTGTGGTAACACAGAATCTGGCATCTTTATGCCTCTCTTAGCTTTTGGAAAGTGAGGTCACCTGATGATGTCTTCCATTTCCTCACAAGTTACAGGAAGGAAGGCTGTTCAGTTCACCGTTGTCATTTTTTAACCTCATTGCTCTACAAAGAAGGGACAGAAATGTTCTTAAGTCCTCCTTTGTGGTATTAATTCCATATGCTTTGTGAGTATTCCTGTTTCATGCTAGGGTGTTCTTTATGGTTGATAAATCTCTGTGCCTCTGACCACAGTTAACGTTGCTTGGTAGAAGTCTCAGTCTGAGTTTTCGCCAAGTTCCCTGCAAACGTCGCTGCAAAACTCCGTCTCTGTTAGTTTGCTTATTATCAGAGATGCAGGAAAGCAGCCCAGGGCGGCCTGGCTTGCGGTGCTGCTCCATTTGCTGCAGATCACAGAGTTTCTCTCATCCTTAGACTAGTGGTCTCTTGTCCTCATGTTTTTCCACGAGAGCAGTGGGGCGTGCGCACAGGTGCACGTGCGTCCGCGTTACGTACAGTGCTGCGTGTGTGCGTACGTATACACACGGGTACGAGTAGCCGTTCAAATAGCAGGGTGGAAGTGGCCTTGAATCGCTCTTGAGGGCATTACTGGTGCATCCTTTAGAAGAAGAAAAACCACGCGAAACTACAACCTATGCCATGCGTTAAAAACTTTGTAGTACTTCCATCACGATAGACGTGACAGCGATTCCTGGCTTGCCTCTTCCTCTCCATGGCGAGGAGCCTTTCAAGGACGGGATGATGGATGGATTTTCATTGGACTCCCTTGGACCTGCCTCCCAGCGCAGAGCTGAGGACTGTGAGGATAACGTTTTGAAAATTAATTCTTCGTTGCAGTTTAACATTTCAGGTTTTTAAGCACATTTTAAATAGAAAGGATTTTGTTTTGTCAGTGTAACTGGTTGAGTGTTGTTTTGGTTGTTTGTTTTTTTTTTTTTTCTTCTTAACAGAGCTTAGATTTCTAACAAGGGAAAATTGCTGGTGGTCCCCGAAAGTGCTGCTGTTAATTGTTTTAATTAACAAAGGGAAAATGTATATAAGCAGAATATTAAAATTACCATTAATTCCGTGAATTTAAATCTGTCATTCATTGCCTTAAAACTTTCTCTTAGTTTCCATACGGCATGCCAAACCAGTAAATGGCTTTTAAAAATGTATAGTAGACCAATGTCAGTTTGTATAAAAGTACCAAGTGAAAATATTTATTATATGCATTGCAAAAAAAAAAATGGTTTACCTATTGAATGTTACCTGTTTATGTAGAAATCTTTAGATGTAATAAAAAGCATTCAGTTATGTTGTGTTTCCTGGGTGGGGGGGAAGTGGGGGACAGGGTGTTTTCTGTGCAAAGGTCCCTTTTGAACAGGAATGCTTTGCTTCTAAATGTTTTGTGGCACGGAGTGTCTCACTCTTGTCTCTCCACACTCTTAACAATGCTGCTTTGTTTTGTGAGTGTGGGTGAAGTGCGGTTCCTTTTTGCTAGCTTTTATTTGGGTAATGTTTACCGACCCAGAGAGGGTAGGAACCGCCTGTTATGATACAGATGCATTCTGGAGTAATCCAAAGTGATTTTGAGCTGATCAATCCCCATGACATACAAGCTTTTTTATTGTCTGCAGCTGAAAGGATTTGTTAATCAACTGTTCTGGTCAATAGGGAAGAATTAAGCTGTGTATCGGATCATTTGTAATTTGGCTATTGATGCATATTGGAAACAAATGCTTCTAAATGAACTCCTTGTTTCATAAGCTAATTACGCTCACGCTCAAAGCAACCGAGGCTTTTGCTCGCCATCACTGCTGGTGCTTCTGTAGCAAAGGTCTGGAACAGCTCCGGTGGGCAGAAACCGAACTCCACGCCGTGGGCAGACCTCCAAAAGGCACAAGTGTGCGAAGGCTCAGCGTCAAGGTAGGTTGGTTTTTTGTCCAAACATTGAGATTAACTGTGAACAGTGGGAAGAGAGTTGCAAGGGAAATCATATGTTTTCCTGTTATTTGGAGCCTGTTCTTGTTTTTTCTAGCGAATCCTAGCTCTGTTTCACTGCATAATGCTTTTCTGAGTGTTAAGCTGCTTGTAACTCTCTGATTTTCAGAGAAACAAGTTTTGTCTCTTATTTTCTGTCCATTGAGTAGCAAGAGCTAATACAAGACTTGAGGGATGCGGTAGGGAGGCACGACAAGGGCCGTCAGTTTTACACTGAGCAAAGTTCACTTCCCCTTGAAGTATGATCCTTTGCTGTTCAGAGCGCCTGTGGTGAGTACCTCGGCGTGCTGGGATCCAAGTCTGAGTTTACTGGGTTAGTCTGGGCCTGCCGTCTTGTGAGAACTGCGGGCTCTGCAGCTCGACTCTCAATCGGGAGGTTGGGCACAAAACTGCCGTTGTCTGAAAGATACATCCTGGATCCGCTTCCATTTCTGGTGTAGCATTCAGCGCATCATTTAATCTTCTGTACTTACCCCCATGTAATAATATTCGATGAGAATAATCCCTACTTTACCCTTCTAGAGACGGTGTTACTGATTTGGAAGGGTTAAGATTGGCTCATGCTTTGTTTTTTCAGTTTATAACCAAGCTTTTGCTAGTTGTGGTCCTGGTTGATTCCAAGTGTGATGTTTTTGGTGGCAGC